ACTATGATATAATCAAATTTTCATTCACAGTGTTTTAAACTTACTAAGAGCTTCCATTTTTTCAGTGTCATTTATTGTGTTCTTATTTTTTGTCTATAAGAAAGAATATAATTATTATTTACGCTGTATTACATGAGCCCCGATTTATTTTTATTTGTTGTTAAGAGCAAAGCTACACAATGATGAGCTATCTGTACTGCGCCCATCACAGGTATCGAAACCCGATTTTTAGCGTCGTAAGCCTGCTGACTTACCGCCAAGCCATTGGTGGGCATTTATTTTTAGAACTTCTTGATGCTAATATTTTTTTTATTTTAGTAATGATTTAGAATTCCTTGATAAAATCAGGATTTTTAGTTTTAGAGTTCCATTTTCTTTTGATTATTTTATTCACTTCCTTCATGTTATGTGCTTGCAACAGTAAGAACAAGAAAGAAATCATTATACTGAGGTTAAAGAAACAAAAACAAAACTAACAAATTCGAAGAATTTCTAAAGACAGGTCTTTCAGTTCTTGATGTTTTTTTCGTTTTTGGCACCAACTCATTGGTATATTGGGCACGCGTGTTCTCAAAATCTCTCATAAGTACATTCAGATGTATGCTTTGAAATGAACACATCACCATCGATCCTTGATTCGTCTAAACGATACCAACGGCCTAGGTAACAATGGCTTCTCACTCAAGACTCATAATCTTATCTTCCAAGAGCATAGTCGAATCTTTATTATATATTTTAAGTGTATAGTTCGTTACACATTTTATGATGATAATATCAAACATTGATAGTGAAATATCTACTTTTCGTCACATATGCATTGGATAAAAATAAAGCTAATTTTAAAATACATACTTCTGATCATTCCAGTGGAGGGGATGTTGGCATACGTTAGTTTGGGAGAGGCAGAAAAAAATAATACTTTCACGCCAATGGGGGTCATAAAGTAGGGATAATCTAAAAATCCTAAAAGATTTTAATATCTCAGGTGGTAGCTGTTCTGGAGGGGGGGGGGGTGCAGAGCTCTAAAAAACTATGGTCCTATCTATATAACTTACCAGTATTTTCGAAATAAACTCTTCAATATGCTGAAGAGATGAAATAATTTCTACTTCTACACTCTGTATTGTCATGTATCCAATGTCAATGATGTACCTGATGATGAAACTGTGTAGCTGTACGTATAATAAAACTTTCATCCGATAATAAATACGTTTTTCCTGTAAAACTGCGTTATATGAGCGATAGGAAACTTTCAAAGGTAATGTTAATTGCAATCCAGCTGAAATTTATTTCACATTATTTTCAAATAAACTTATAATTTCCCTATCTCCTTACCATTTTTAGGGGATCTCCCCCATTTCATTTGCAGTCTCGTCAAACCATTGTTGTTCATGTGGTACATGATAAAATACGCTTTTGGTAAGTAACTTTGAATTGTACTCAAATGCATTTATGTTGAGTTTCATTTTGTGCATCTTAGGAAGATTCCCATCTCTTGTTTACACGCTTCAATATCTATCTATCTGTCTGTCTATGTCTGTATAACATCATTAGCAGGATGAGTGACATTATTTGATTTGCTTTTAAGAGTAGGTACCAACATGCTAGGTAAATGCCCATATCTTGATAACAGTTTATCAATATGTATGCAGAAAACCAGCAATAGGTGCGGTTGAAAGCATATGTCAACGTGAAATTTGCTAAGATCAGCGCTGCAAGACTGACACGTGATTCACTTCTCGCGCTAATTTATTTAAAGTCTAAAAGTCAATATTAAAACGAAAATGATCTGGTTTGGATTTAACTTCGTTTTTTTAGATGCATATAAAATGGTCAGGACGTAAAGCCAATGTTGGCCCGGTGATGTCCATATCAGACTTCTGTTAATTTTAATGAAATATGCGCCATCATGTCATGCAGATGATTAATATCATTAATTTTGTCGAGTTCAACAGTCTAGCCATTAATTAATGAGAGACTTATCTGGCACAAGCATCCAACATATACGGCAAATTAAACTACAATGATCTTCCGCATCATAGGATTTGAATATTTCTGCCAAATCTCCAAAGTTTTGAAGGTATCAAAATTAAAGTCTCCACTATTATATCACGGTGTGTTAGGTTTCTCAGTAAAGCAATCAATTACAATGAATCATATATGAGACACATGTTTAACCTCGTTGTCCTCTGGTCTCCAAGAAAAATGTATTCCAGTTACTAACATACATACGTGATCTCACCAAAGTTTCATCTCCATTCATTCCTTGACGTAGTTAAAAAAATAACTGTCTATGTCACCCGTGCAAACAGCTAGAAGCACTACGTTGAACCCAATCAGCCAATTTATCGTCTTGTTTCTTCTCAACCGATAACGATGTATCTAAAGTTTATGTGTTTGTGTGTGTCAGCTGTCGCCAGGTCTGTTGGTTATTTGACAGCGCAGTTACTAATAATTTCTTTGATAAGTTTTCTTTTCATATGATTAAGACTACTCTTTATTTTAATTTGTTAGCGTATGGCTTATTTTCCATTTATTTATTTCCTAATTTTGTAAAGGATTTTATTTTTGTGTGTGCGTATTTAGTCATCATAATCATTTTTGTACTTTTCGACTACATAGATCCTAATAAGCTCCAGGTGCCTTGCATGAATCTCTGTAATATTGAGAGAGTTTGGATTACTATATCTCTGAAAGTGTTAAGAAATCATCTTAACATTTCAACGTTAATGCAGCATGTTGGTAAATAGAACAGAATTCACACCCTTATAAGGGTGTAAGTAACATGCAATAAATACATGGTGTGAAAGCACGTCTGTTTCAGGTGTTTATCAGTATTTCCCAGACTTGAAGGTGTGGTTTTAATCTTCTTTTTTAGAGTGTACGGGAAAGGAAACTACAGTGATGACTGTGCTTCAAAGGAGGGCGCTGAGAGTCGACAGAGATGGGGCGTAACTATGAGTATAGGGGCATATAAATTATGTTTGAACGCACAAATTTTAAAATACAGAAGACTTAAAAACTACCGTACAAACATTACTACTATTTACCTAATATAATATAGTAACAACAATTAACATGAGAAAAGACATGTGCAGCACATACACAAATTGGTTAGAGTGGGGAGCTATCTGGTCAGCGTGCGGGCTGCACAAGGAACAAGTAAAGGTTAACTTCGCTACTGAAAAGTAAATAGAAAAAGACAACCGAAACGTTGTGTATTTTCACTCTCTTTCTTCTTAGTTTCACAAATAGTTTCTATCAAACAGTTTAGTAAAAACGGGCAAAGTCTGTCTTCTCACTCCAAGCATAGGAAATGTAAGACTTTGTTTTCTGGGTAGTGACGGTTGACTATTTCAAAACATTACAATTCGCTGGTTCATGGCAATAATCTGAAATCTTTAAATTACGAAACAAGGTAGTTGGTTTTTGCCTTATTTTATAAGTGAAACTGAGTTGACAAGTGACGCAGATCAGTCGTCCGTGGACCTGTTTAATAAATATTTCATTTCCTCCAATTACATAATTAAACCTCCTTTGTATGTATTGTTATATATTTGATTTCTTTTCATTTTAACCAAAGGTAAACCGGAAAATATAATCTGTTACGTAGAAGCCTAATACATTCTTTGATTCGCCGCACACTTTGCTGTGGACTGCAGTTTCGCTTATTCAATGCTTGTCAGTACAGCGTAGGACAACAAACCAAAGAAATACAATTAAGCCTCTTATAACACTGTGCATATAATATATGGGTTTTTTTAGTCTTTTTTTTTTAACTCACCATCTTGTAATATAAATTATTTAGATTACTATATGGTGGATTAAAAAGGGCTCAAAAACCCCGTAAATATTTATTGTTTTGTATTTCTCGGTTTCTGAACACAAAACCAAAAATTAAAGTATTTAAGTACCAAGGGGATTATTTAAAATTCACTTGTAGAGTTGTTAATAATGAGGAACAATCGCAGTGCATTATTTGTTCTCATATTTAAGCTATTAACAGTATGAAGCTAAATGAACTTACGAGGCATTTGAAAACTAAACACCTTGAGCCTGTGAGTGAAAATATCAAGTTCTTCAAAAGATAAGTGAAACAATTGAAAGGGTGAAACAGTTTGATTTAAAAGCAGGTCATTGTTCCAACAAAAACCTTAACTTTTCTAGAAGCATCTTATTTAATTAGGAAAAGCACGAAGTTACACAATATAGGAGGGATATTAATTCTTTCTGCTGCCGTAAAAATGTGTAAGATCATATACGGAGAGAGGCATGGTGAGGATCTTAAGTCCATACCTTTATCACGTGATACTGTCGCGAGGCGTATAGATGTAATTTCTGCAGACATAAAAATGCAATTGGTAACACCCATCCAGAACAGTCAGAATTTCATCATGCAATTTGATGAAACCACAGATGTTGCAAATTTAGCTCAGCTTCTGTTATATATATGAAACTGTTACGAAGAGGAAGTGGGTGAAGATATTTTGCTTTGCCAAGCACCGGAAGGAAGAGTTAAAGAGGAAGCCATCAGTTTTCACCATAAACAAACTTTGTTGGGTATGAAGCGGCAGCATTTATGGGAAACAGGAAATGGTTCAGAGTCAAAGTAAGTGTTTTTACTCCAGGTGTAACATTTAGACATTGCATCATACACAGAGAAGCACTAGCTTCAAATAAATTGCAGTCCGAAGTAAACTAAGTGTTACAAAATGCCGTGAGTGTTGTGAAAGTAAGAGCTGGTTTTCATTCTTTGTGGAGAAATGGGATCCATGTACGACAAGCTCCTGGTGCATACAGAAGTGCGCTGGTTATCTCACGGGAAGGTACTCAGTCGCATTGTACAGCTGAAAGACGACCTTAGTATTTTTAGTTATTTAGACTGAAACCCCATACTAGCATCGCATTTTATGGATGAAGAGTGACTTCTAGTACTGTGCTACTTGATTGATATTTTCGATAAGCTCAACGACCTTAATAGCATTGTTGTGCAGCTGAGTGACAAAGTGTTTGCATTTCGCACCAGTTTGAGAATAGAAACTGTGAAATGTTTCTTTGCCTCGGTAAATTCTTGGAAGAAAATGAATTAAATCATAGTCTTATTCGTGACGTTGTTTCTGATCATCCCGAAAAATCTCAATGTCGATTTGTAGATCAATTCAAAGAATTAATGGGAGAACAAGATTGGATCCAGAATCCATTTAATTGCAGCATAACTTTTCATCATCTGCCAATGACAGTTCAAGAAAAGCTCCTAGAACCATCCAGTGATAAAACTCTTCAGGCAGAATTCAAGTCGAAACCTTTTGGGAACTTCTGTATGCTAGTTAGCAAAGAATACCCTGACCTGTCAAGAAAAGCAATGGACGTACTTTTGTCTTTCACGCCAACATACCTGTGTGAGTCAGCGTTTTGTGTTGTGACAGCAATCAAAATAAAACAACGATTTCGACTTCAGGTAGAAGGGGATTTCTGAATTGTTGTATCAACAATTCAGCCAAGAATGGACTTCATCTTATCCCAAGTTCAAGCGTATCCTTATCACTAAATTTATGAGTAAAGTGAAACTTTGTCTTATGCTATGTACCATTTTAAGACTTGTTTTATTTTTATACGAGCTGAGCGAAGGAGGGGGGGGGGGCGAACAAAACGTACGTTTAGAAAGTGGTACCATAAAAACGCTTGCACATGACTGATTTAGATCAACGAATATATTCAAGGTTAAGAATAAGATCGGCTATTATTTTATACGATTTTCCATGTTAATGCATACTTTATTAAAAAATTCAACCTGTTAATCACTGTATACACATGAAATATAAACTACAAGCAGGTAATATCTATGGTATGATTGGTGTCGTAGTTAATTTGACAACATACTGCTTGTGGCAATTCAACTGCGAAGAAAACAAAGATAAAAAAAAACTTACAAATTTTGATGACAGTTTGAGGAAGATGGCTTGGCATGGCTCGACTTGCAATCTGTGGATCTCGAGCTTGAATCCCCTTACCGGGCGTGCTCGTCCTTTCAGCGGTGGATACGTTATTATATGATGGTCAATCCCACTTTTAACAGCTTTGCTAAGAGCCACTTCAATAAGATGTTGAATTGGACGCTGAATTTTGTTTGGATTCTACAATTTTGTTTGGTCAGTACAAGCTGTTAGCTTAACAAATATCTCAATATAGAATTTATTGTAAACGAGGGTAAATTTGGAATAAACTAAAGTTTTGTTGGTGAATATTTAATTCTGGTTTCGAATATTCAACGAAAATAATTTCCAAATTTAATACCTAAGTACAAGAAGCAATATAACATCGCCTATTAAAGAAACTCTCCTTTCACGTTTAAAACGAGGATTCGATAAATTTGTCAAAAATCTATACTTTTTGGACAATTGAATATTTCTTCCTCCAAC